GAGTCGTGTTTTGCCTCCAGATAATAAAATGGCGTCATCAGTTTGGCCTCCTGCAGCTCCATGTTCATGTTGCATAGCTAACATTAGAGTGTTACACTGGGTTCATCCCAACACCTTCCCTTGCATCCATGTTCCCTCACTTGTGTCTCTTCCTCGCGTCTTATCTCTGTTCTCATAAGACGCAGCAGAGAGATGCAAGGATGAGAGTCAGGAGAGAGGAAAAGGAGGAAATACAAAGAAACGAGACGTCTTTTCCTCTGAAGTGTCCCGTGAAGCGACGTCCATTTGAGATGGCGGCGGCGCCTGATCACAGCTGGATCAGCTGTCAGTCAGCTTTGTTAGCAACTGTAGAGACTTTTGATGGAGTTTGTGTCTGCACACGAATAATGCAATATATAGCACCATAAAATACGCCTATACAATACAGGCACAGTTATCAGAGGCAGAGCAGCAGTGTTTTCTCTCTGTTTAACAAACACCTTCACATGCATAACACCTTCAGTCTGTATTTAGACAGTACTGTGTCCTGCTCAGAGTCACAGAATGTGTTTATATGCATTTGCATCTGTATTTATTGATATTCGGACTGTGAATTTATTATTCAATAACACAGGATATGACTATGATGTCTTTTGAACACTGAAAATTATTTAATAGGCCAAATGTTTCAGGGAATATTGAAATTATGGAACTCATCAACCCGACGCTCAGAAACTATCAGCCTCACGTGTGACTGAATGAAAGTGACGATCCGTGATATAAGTTATTCTTGCTGACAGACGGACTCTCTCTGACTTTGTCTGCATAATAAAACCTTAATGGGGGAAATAACAAGTCGTAAAAAGAAAAATCTTGCTCATGCTCCTTTTCTTGTTCAGATTTTTTGACTAAATAGTGAAACAGAAAACAAATATAATGTAAAACTTGATGCACTTGAGTTTAATTTCTTGTCTGTCTTCACTCCAGCAGTGTTGTGATGTATCAGATCAGTCCGATCAGCTGCAGTGCTGCGTGTGTCCAATCAATAACTGATATCCGTTCAAGCGTGTGTCGGTCAGTAAAAGATTCCCACAAAGGCTGCACTCGAGTAGTCTCACTTCCCTCTCCGGGGATGTTCTTTAAGATGGTGGGTCTCAATCAATAACGGGTGAAGTGATCGAGGATAGAAGAGTTGAGGAGAGATATTCAGATGACTCCAGTGTGTCCTCTGCCTCACTCCCCGCCGCTACAGCGCAAACCGCAGCTCCTATTGGACAGGCGAGATTCCCCGCCATATCCGCAAACTTTCTGCTGCTGTTAAACAGGTCAGACCTGACACTACCACTGGCTACCAGCCTGCTCTGTTAGCTGAATTTAGTTGGCTTCAGCTTCTCAGCGAAAGTGTCCGGAGCTGCTGCCTGTTGTCGCAGTCTACAGCGGCGGGGAGCAAGGCGGAGGGACTGTGGGGCGGCTAATGCTAGCTAACTCTTGTCTCAATTGTGCTGTGAGAAACAGACAGACAGAACAAGGTAAGCAGGGGCTGAGTGAATGAGGTGTGTGCAACTGTGCAACGAGATAACATTGGGTTACTGAGCGTGTGCATATGCCCATAGTTGCCTTGTGGGAGGGGCTTCAGACAGAGAAATTAGAGAGGAGAGCTGCAGAAAGAGGCTGTACTTCTGAATTCTGCCTACCGCAGCTTTAAAAAAAATTGAACTTCAAGAAAATTCTTGAATGAAACTGGGTGAATGACAGCGTCTCAGGACGTCAGTAGATTCTTCCTCGCTTGTTCTAAGAAGAGCTAAGGAATATTTAATTACTTAAAAGGATTTTTTTGCTCTCTGATCTATAAATACCAACGTCCGACTTGAAGGGTGTTCAACTCAGCTGCTACCACCTGCTTTTTTAAGATTTCCTCTTGCCTGATCGTCTCGCACCTTTTTTCTTGTGTTTTCTGTCAGGCGTTTAGATGTCCCAGACTCCTTTGAGTTTTCAGTAAAACATCATCATGTTAAAAAGGGGTGGACAAAATATCACAAACACCCACATTTAGTGCAAGACGGTTCAAAAGCACTGCAGCATATACTACCATCGGATTGTCAAAATTGTATCATAAAAGGTAGTAACTATTGTTGTATCTATTGCTTAGAGGTATGTATAATATAATGCATTAGCAAAATTTTATAAGGTATTACATATATACATATAACACCACAGTATGTCATGTATTTTTAATATAAAACAAAGTCGAGTTAGGTGAACAGCTTGCGGCAGAGTTCTAAGGGTTCACAGTGTTGCAGTGTTATTGAATTGGATTTTATTATAAAAGTGTCATATTATAGTGGTGTTTATGACATTGTGGCCACCGTCTGTACGTTGCCTTCACCCCTGCAGTCACTGCATCAATCCATCTGAAGAGCAAGCAGTGAAAAAGTGAATGTTAATCATGAAGGTCCTGCTCGTCATCGCCTTCTATCCAGGGACACGGCGTCTCAAAATGGAGACTTTGCAGCAGCACAAAGGATTGAATTTGGCCACAGGAGATACCAAGATTGGATTGATCAATAAGATTAGATTGCCTTTCTGCAATGCATCGAGCACATTAATGTAGCGAAAGCAAAACATGGAAACTAATTCAGCATGTTAGATGCATTTGGTTATGCTCAGGAGTCAAGGAGGGTAATGTCACGGTTTGCGTGTTAAATTCAGATAAAAGTTGCTGAATTCTCCGCTGAGGTCTTGCTAATGATGTTCTCTTGGAACTGATACAATTGGCAAATGATTATTGATTTCAGCACTCGAGGAGTCTGGCTCCTTTACAGAATGATCTTGCACCAGGTTGCAGTCTGTGAGTTTTTCTAATTACATTGATACATGCATATTAATTGAACAACCTCATGCTTTTTTCTGTAGAATGCGAGACAAAATGTTAGTTTCTGGGTGAGGTATCGTCAACAACGCAGAGCCTTTCCCGCCGTATGTGCAGAGAGGCATCGCACCACAGGCCATTTTTAAAAATTTCATCACTTCTCAGGCTGCACAAGAGGTGAAAAGTGAGAGGGGTGAAAATGCAATTCCCAAAACTGATGACTGTTATACAAAATTACAAGAATAGAAAGACAAAGAGCCAGCATTAACTCTTAATATGCCCAGCCTTGGGCCAAACTAATAAAACCACAATTGAATCAGCCCTAAATAAATGATGGCGCTGTAGTTTAATAGCGTATCATCTCCCTCACTGACAGCACTGGATTTGATGGTACTATATATCTTAATAATCCCACAAGTTGAAATTGAAGGGCATTTCTCTGGGACAAATTCACACTGAGTGTTGCTTTATTTTTCTCACTCATTATCTGTGTGTCTACTGAGGCTTTCAGGCAAACAGTGAGCTCCACCTGGTGGAGACAGAGGACCATCTCTGTGGAACAGTCCTCACTTTTAATTTCATTTAAAACCTGGCCATTATACACTCATTTAAAAACTAATATGAAAAACATAGTTAATATATTAGTTATATTTATATGTTACATGTATGTGTCTGTATTATTTACGATTATCACATCCTCTGTTTTGTCTGTTATATTCTCATGTTTAGGAGAGAAATATTATTTGTAACTGAATAGATTTGAAATTCTACAGGGGGAGGTTTTCACCATAAGGTCCCTTCAGGTTTCTTACCTCTCCTGCACAATCGGTGCTATGTTTATTTTTATATACTTGTTTTTATCACATCTTGATTGCTAATAAAATTCAAATTCAAGTGTAAAAGAAAGACAGTCGTACAAAAACTGTACATTTAAAACAAATCATTTACAGCTATGTCAAAATGTTACTGAATGACAGAGGTGTGGACTTAAGTCACATGACTTGGACTCAAGTTGGACATGAGTCACAAATTTAATGACTTTAGACTTGGCAAAATCAAACTAAACTTGGACTTTAACACCAAGGACTTGAGCCTTTTGACTTTAAAATACTTTTTTTCCATTCCCCCCAAGGTAATAAAGGTAACACAGGTTTTTGAGTCAAATTGAGCTGACCAACATTACTTATAGATCTAAATGAGCTTTCATTTATATGATTTAGCACAAGGTGGCCATTCTGCAGTGGGCTATTTTGTTTATTTGGTACTTCAACTGTGCAGCATTGTTGATGAAAGCAAACAAATTCATCCACACGCTATTGAATTCTCTATTTTCCCCTGAGACTTTTCCCTTTTTGGATTTGGAATCCACGGCTAGCCTAGCTAGGAAGAGTTAAGACTACTTTAGCCATCGCTAGTGATGTTTTTAGAGGAAAAGGCACCAGGTCAGACATATGACTGACATTTTAGTTGATGAAATGTTTAATCGATGAATAGGCTATGCATTTTTACAGTTGAAAAATGTAAGAATCACTTCAGGCCTATAACAGTAAATGAAAATTAAGATGTTATAAGAAATAACAGTTATTCATTTTAATATAATTTTCTGTCAAAGCCACAGGGAGCCGCTGGAGAGGGGCTAAAAAGTGGCATGCAGAGCCGCAGGTTGGGTCTACCCCTGCCACAGATGATCCACTTTGTTATCTGACAGCATCCAATCAAATTGCAGAAGAGAAATACAAAAAATAATGTTATGTTACTGACCACCGGTTGGGGAAAAAAATGGCACCAAAGATAATTTTGTTAGTGTACAAAAATTGTATGTGGTGGTCAACATTTGCAGTATTCAAAACTTACGGGTTGAAACTTACAGAAGGGGACACAACAACCTTCGGCTTTGTTTAACATTAGAAGTTGCACAAAGAATGATAAGCCAAGGCTAATATTAATGTAGTTAGCAAGCTAATGCTTAGTCAGTGTGTTCAGATGTAATATATTATTTTTCAGTGTGAAAAATGGTATTACACAGAGAGTGCATTATGACTTGTTTCGGACTTGTAACTCAAAGTTAAGGGCTTTGGACTTGACTCGGGTCTTGACTGCAAAGACTTGACACTTATTCATGACTTGCAAAACAATGACGTAGTCCCACTTCTCCTGAATGACATAATTTTATTTTGTTTGTCTTGCATTGTGAAATCAATGCCAACACACACAGCGACCCTCCCCCGTCAAAAGATGAACACAGTACATAACAAACATTAAATCATATCACAGAAACCCAAAAAATAAAAAAGTCTCATAATTCCCATGCATCTGTGAAAATAAATTCCTCACATCATTTTGTTACTTTCATTTTATCAACACACAAAGTTTCACTTATTGTTGATATGACAAACATATGTCAGTTTATATACTGCATGTGTTGGATGTAAGAGCACAGTATCAGCACACTGTAGCCACCAGGCACTAAAAATAACATATCTTATTCTGCATCATACGCCAGGAAGTTAAATCCTATGTGGTTTGTGGGTTACTGATGAACGCTCCTCCTTCACTTCAACTCTGACATTCAGTAAATCTATAACTCTGATGTATATAATTACAACTGTCATTACTACATTTGCATTTGGGTGGGACTCCTGTTACAAAATCATGTAATGATGCCTTCCAGGGCAGATTTCACAGTGGAAAATGGGCCGTTTATCTGACATATTTTGGGACAGGCTTGAGGTTTGATCATACAAGAATTTAATTAAAAACAATATAAAATATGAGAGTAGATATTGCACATTGTTACTTTTTTGGATCTTAAGACAAAAACATAAGACAGAGTGGTTCAACATTTTGTCTTTCATGATCCTAACCTGTCAAAATGTAAATATTTAGAAGCAGACAACAAGCCTGTCATTAGTATAAAACACTGTCTTTGGACCAGTGCAATTTGAATTTCTTAGCTCTAATGTCCAAAATAACACGATAAATGAACGTTACACCACAACTTGTAAACTGCAGCAATGTTCTGTTGCTGTATAAAAACTCTAAAAGTCGTTAAAGGTCGGAAATTGTGAGAGAAAAACGTGAGACAAAAGAATACAGAAAACGTTCCTTTGCAAGTGAGTTGATTTACTTTGAGAGGAGTGAATGAGCAATACTTATCATTCATACAAAATGTATATTACTTTGAAGAAAATGTGCAAACAAAGCTTCGATAAAGGATGCCTTAACATGCTCTCTGATGCTGGCATTTGGAAAAATATACAGTTAGAAATATATACACTTCCAAGAGTAGCACGTCTACATACTCAGTGTGGGCATTAGCAAGAATCTGCTTGCATAGTTAAGTGCATGCATAAGCAATTCGTCATGCAACAACTGTCGTATACTTCATGAGCGGTGATCTCTTTTTCTCAGGCCTGTGTCAGTGCGTTCGGCTCTGACCTACTCTGTGATGCAAGCTAAAGATGTGCACAAGCTGTGATGTCGCACGTGAAGACAGAAGATGACTCAAACATACCATAATGCTCTATGTACATATTTTTTCAAAGAAGGCATCCCAGCTGTCTTTGAGTGTGTGTGTGTGCGTGGTGGCTTTTTACATTAACCCTGTGTTCATCTGAGAGGAATGTTTGGAGATGTCTGGCAGTCTGAAGAGGCTGATCCCCATGAGGAACAGGAACGCAGTTAAGTGTGGGTATCAGCAGCTGGAGGGCAGAGGTGGTGACGGACGGGAGGTTTGTCTGAGGGGTAACAGGTTATTCACTGGTAAATAAAAACACAAACATTTAAGAACCATTACAAACCGACGTCTCAGACATTTAACACCAACGACACATGCTGCATTCCTGCGCTTTTGCACCCAGCGGGGCCTCTCGACGACTGTCTCCATTCTGGCTGCACAAAAATACGTCTTAAAGGCTGTTGCACAATTACTACATCAAGGAGCGTATGTAAACAGCGGTTCAGGTTAAATAGGCTTAATTGTGTTTGACTTGAAATAACATTTTTCAGTGCTTAATAAATATTAAAATTGAATTATAAATTTACCAACACCTGCAGTTATACAATTTAGATTAAATATTTTGATTATCTGAGGCACTGATGTTTGTCGACATATGGCTCTCGATACTGACGGAGAGCTGTACATAAAGATTTTTGGAAATAATTCAGTGTTTCACTGCATCAGCACGTTAAAAATTGCCGGTAAACTTCCTTTGGTGACTGAGGAGTCCGTGCTTAATGTATCGCAAAAGTTGCTTGCCACCATTATATCCGCTTTCCATCTTGTGCAAAGTCACTTTTATTTTCACCTCCTACCGAAGATGGACTTCTCCCAGCTATGCTACAGACAGAACAAGGCAATAATTTCAATACATGTGCAGTCCATGCTTATTTACAATACAGTATAATATTTCTCAAAATCAATGCAATCCATACAAAGTGCTTCGTTAAAATCCATTCCTAAATAACTATTTAACAATGTGGACAGGAAGTGTCCGGTATGGCAGCTGGTATTCAGTAACCACTGAAGAAGCTACAGGTGCTTTAAAGATGTTTGTCAGACGCTGGGTCTGGTTTGGATGGTTAAAAAAAGACACCTCAGAGCTGCACTAGAGAGATTGTTATCAGGCCTTTGAAATAATGTCACTTGGCCCTCTGGCTAGTTTGTGTAGAGTTGATGGGGATCTTCCTGGACTGCATTGTCTTTTTAGCAGGCTCTTTCTTCGAAGGTTCTTTTGCATTGGCAGAGGATTGGGTGGTCGTTTCTGCTCCAGAGAGCTTCGACTTTGTGGAGGGCAGCAGTGAATGCTTAGCTGCAGTGGACACCTTGGATGATTCCTTGTCTTTGGCTGTGGTCACATTAGTCTGGGCCTCTGAGGCCACATTCTGGGCTTTCTTGGGGTTTCCCTCTCTAGCTGCATCCCCACCACCCTCCTCTGAGCTTGCTTTAGCATCTCCCACCCCTGCCTTCCCACCATCGGCTGATTTACGGGTCTCTTTGGGCCTCAGAGCTGTTTTAAAGAAGGACAAACCTTTGTCCTCTGTCTTACTGTTCCTTCGAGGCGCCCTCGAGGGGGGGGCTGCACTCGCAGAGGAAACACCTACACTTGACGATCGAAGACTAGCCATGGAGGAGCTACTGCTTGAGCTCCGGCCCGGCGCCCTGTTTTCCGCAGTACGGCCCGGCCTGCCCTCCGCTCTGCTAGCAGCACCCGACCTTGAGGGAGGACCGCTGTGGTTAACCTTCTTCTCCGAGACCGAGTTAGTCCGTGAGGAATCACGGCTAGTGCTCCTGTCTGCTGCTTTAGTCCTTCCTGAGGCTGAGCTTTTCTCGCCTCCCCCTCTGGGTGATGTCCTCCTTTGAGGGTGGGAGCTTTGTGACCCAGGAGAACCACTCTTCCTCTGTTGGGCAGAGTCAGGATATAACACCTCCGGGGTTTGGGATGACCCTTTCTTGGAGGGGGTTGCTGTTCTCGAGGAACCTGCCTTGCTAGTTTTAGGTGGTCCTTCGCTTTTGTCCTTTGGGGTTGATACCGATGCTGTGCCCTTCGTCTGACCTCGAGATGGTAACTTGTCAACGGCTGGGGACGCAGGAGACAGGGAGCTGGATGACGTCGAGGAGGTGGCGGGACGCTTCTTGGGACTCGCTGTGGTCCTTTTAACACCAATGCTCTCTGCAGACCCATTTCTTTGTTTCGCCTCCTTCGCAGCTGCCCCATGTCGAGGACTCACCTGTTCGGAAGCAGCGACGACATTGTTGTTGTCCGCAGCCAGGGTGGAGGTCTTCTGCTCTGCCTGAGCCACAGCCTTGGAGTGAACCTGCTCTATTAGCCTCTTACTGCCTGGATTGCTATCCAAAGCTGCAAGGGCTGACTTGCCCCCAGACACTTTGTCTGTCTTAGGTGACCCAGGGAAGCAGGAGGTCGACAGCTTGGTATCAACCACCTCCCCAATTCTCTCCAGTGTCGGGGAAGAGGAGTGGGATTCCAGGGAGAAGCGGGAGGGAGAGTTGGAACGGAGTTGTAGCTTAGCAGAGTGGGACCAGGATGGTTTGGTGCCATTTTCACTGAGCACCAGCGGGCTGGCGATGGAAGATCTTGAGGAGTACGTCTGTCTTTGCATGCCCCTTACTGCTGGCCGGCTCGATAAGCCTGCATGGTAGGAAGATACACATCAATATAAGACTCTTTAAGAATACCCACATTTGTCACTTTTGAGTTGAAAACAGAAATTGAGTGTATTTGGATGAGTCTTTACCACCATCATCCTCACTCCGTTCACCAGCAAACTCAGCTGACTCAGAGAGGGAGGCCAGCGAGGTGCGTCTGGAGGAACCAGAAGAGGCTTGGCTAGGTGGACGGCTACCCATCAGCCGACTGATCCAGTGCTCACACAAAGAGGAACTGGTGGATCCTAAAATCCCAAACAGACAGTGGTTGAACGTGGGTAGTAAATTCAAAAATATACACAAGAGATTACACAATCTAATAACATTTACAATTACCTCCCACAGAGCTGTTGGCAGACCAAGATGGAATTGTGGCACGTCTTTGATAAAACAAGATGTAACCAGTCTGCTTGCAAACGTCATCTTCAGATATGGGATGAACATCGCTATCATCGAAGCAATACCACTGTCCATCTATGGAGTTCTTACAGTGAGCTACAAGACACAAGAGCATAAAATATTAGAAATATCTTGGATAGCCTTTATTAAAGTAATACTTCACCCCCAAATTATACTTTGTATATCAATTACTGACCAAGCGTTAAAACTGTTTTTCTCTCCTCCACAGTGAATGAAGCATCCAGATCGGAGAAAGTTCTTTATGTACTGAAGTCAAAGGGGACCTCAACAGCAAAACTATAGCAAAGCATCTGTTTACAAACTCTCACACAACTCATGCAGTATAATCCAAGTTTATCTAGTTGTTTGCTTAACACTTCCCAAATAGACAACCCTTTCTGATGGGAAACTGAACTAAAAGTGAAACTTATCCATGGTCTCTCCAAAACCAGACTCCATTGACAAAATCAATAATTTTATCTCACTAAACACAGGAGCTCTACTACCCCCTAAATTTGTTTGTTTGTGTTATTGTGTGACTTTGGTGATTTAAAGGATAGTTAGTGTTCACCAAAGTCGCAAAATAACACAAGCAAACTGCAGATCGAGCCAGTGGTAGACCAGCAGCTACTGTGTTCAGTGAGGTAAAATTGCTGCTTTTGTCAATGGAGTCTGGCTCTGAAGAGAGTATAGGTAACTTCAGTTCAGTTTCCTGTCAGAAAGGGCTGTCTGTTTAAGTGCTGAGCATAAGAATGAATAAATGAGACTTGCATTATACTGCATGAGTTGTGTGAGAGTTTGTAAACGGATGTTTTGATGTAGTTTTGCTCTAGTTAAGCGCGGCCCCCATTTACTCACATTCATCAAGAATTCTCTCTGTTTTTTGGATTCTTCGTTCACCGTGAAGGCAAAGAAGAAAAACAATTTTATTTTCACTAATTCAATGTAAAACGGGGAAAGTAACTGATATACAAACAGTCATTTGGAGAGTGAAGTATCCCTTTAAAAAAAAATCAGATGAGACATCAGCCACCCACTGTTTGTAATTGGTGCTGCTCGGTTACCTGTGTAATGTCCTCCCTGCATGGTCCCATGATGGTTACACACGGCGTACAGGTCGTAAAGGTAATCCTCTGGGTCACGGCCCATCCCGTAAGGCCGTCTCCACGGCGACCAGTGGGAGGGGAGACTCCAGCTGCTCTGGCTTCTCTTTACCATATGGGGTGCCATGTCCATGCCTGTGAGCGGGAACTTCACCATGTTCTGCATCTTCATTCGTCGATCCCCATCCTGTATTAACACATTTATGGCGTTTAACTTGACAGCAAGTTGTTTTATAAATTCCTCACAATCTCTCTCTCACTCACTGAACATTTTTGGCACCTTCATTTATTCTACTGTCTACATGAGTACCTGTCTAAAGCGTTTCAAGTGCAGTATGAGGATGTCTGGCAGGGTCCACAGGCTGAGCTTGATGCTGCCCTGCTGAAGCTGCTTACAGTGCGGACATCGCCATGCATCATCAGGAGCAAGCTGAAAATAATGTGAAGAAAACCGTAATTAAAGAGTAAATTAACTCTAGCTTTTGTTTGTTTTTTACCTGTTAACATATGTTTTCTGTATAATAAAGGTATGAAAATGATGCCATTTTTTAACATTATATAGCAAAAAACAATGCTGGAAAAGTGTAATGGCACTGCCATCTAGTGTTTGTAACTGTCACCCGTCTGCTCACACCGCCCAGCCCCAAGTCTGGTATCTTGGACCAGTGACATCAAAGATAATCCAACAACACAACATTTTTAACATTTTTAAACCTCTGTTTTAGGCAGAAGACTGCCAGTGAATCTTAGTTTGCAGAAAATGATAAAACATATCACATCTTTAATCCTTATATTCATTCATTCTCAGCACCACTGCAGCTTAGGTGATGTCATGTCTCAGCCTACCTGCTCCTCTTTGGTGTAGAGTTGAAAGCACTGGGCGAGCGAGCAGGTCTGAGGCTGCAGGTGTTGCTCCTTTACTTGACGCACGCTCTCAGCATCGGGGATGTACTCATCCTCAGTTCTTTTGAACAGACTGGGGAATAACACAGCACAAGTCACAGAGGGATCACACGAAACTTCAAAAGACATTTACGACATGTATTTGTTGAAAGGAGACATCACACATCTGCTCAGAGCTTGATAAAAAGTGCATGACTGTTGCCTCAGATCTCAACTTACTAGTCTTTTGTCTCCTTGTCCCATTCGACAACAATTTTGACATGAGGTGGCCCTCCAGGACCGCACGACTTGAATGCCCTGTTGAGAATTAGATTAAGAGAACAGCGCATTATATTTTCCATTATGATCATTTAACTACGATTCATACTCAGTATTATAACTGTATTATAGTATTATAAATCTGCTATGGCTCCAGCAGTACAACATCTGAGACCTCTGTCCTGAAGAGTGCAGTCATAGTTACAGCTAAGATACCTTTGCAGAGCACTCAAACTCCCAGGACATACATATCAATTGGCCTAAATGACTTTGAGGGTTTATTTTCTGTTTGATTTTTATGTAGCAGCAGAGAAGCAAATGTCTTTTTTTCCCCATTCCCCTCATTTTTAAAAATCCATGCAACAATCACAGAGGTCGACACATTCTTAGAGGAAAATCCATAAAACCAGACAAGCTATTATACATCTCAGGAGGTATTTTAACATCAATACCACTGAAGAGTCGGCCTACATACTGTACTTCTTCAATCAACTTGAAGTGGATTGAACTGACTGCAGGGTTTATATAATGACTGCTCATGTGCAGTAACACTCCCCCCTGCTGGCGGTAAGTGTCATTACCTCTCCACAGAGGGATGGCAGAGCGGCTGCTCCTCCTGAGGCAAGAGATATGTGATTCCAACCACTCCTACCACACGCAAAGTGAAGGGCCCCACCTACAGACCATCAAGGTTAAGACACAATAAATATATTGCATAAAGGTCATTTAAAGTTCATTAAAATCACAGAGTATGTACCTGCACAAAGACTCCAGGGCGCAGAAGATGCCGCATCTTCTCCAAGATCTCTTTCTGAAGCACATCCCATGTTACTGTGCGCTCCAAATACAAAATAAATGGATTGCCAAACCTGCGGGGATTACAAAAACAAAAACAAGCCTGTGTCCATTTTTAAGATTCCTTTGGCATAATTATTCAAATCTTCACAAATATTCTGAAATACCTGCGTCCTTGCTGTCCGGCACAAGCTCTGTTACACACCAAAAGGACAATCTTCTCAGCCTGTTCGCTGTTCTTATTGGGACTCAGAGGCGGGGTTGTCGGCTCTTGTATTTGTGTGGATATCCTGTTATTATCTGTGCCATACTTCAGATTGTTCTGGTTGAGATTTGCATGTGGGCTCCCTGTGATAAAACACACAACATGTAAAGATACAAGCATGTAATGTAACACAAAAATCAATCCAGCATGCAGGTCAGTGTGCGCAGCAGCTCCTTCATTATTAGTCCATTTCTAATCTAATCTCCACTCCTACGGCCGTAATGAGACAAAGAGCTAAAGTCATTTCTGGGGAACAAACAGGATGCTGTACCGCCTCGCTTGGAGCGGATCTGCTCCGGTCTGAATAGCTCAGGTGTCTCAAAGGCAAAGATGGAGTCGCTCTCCTGAATGATCTCAAGGTCGTCGTCGTCGTCACAGAAGGAGCGATGAAAGCCATCGAAGTACATTTCAGTGAGGACGATCTGAGCGGATGCAGGGAACAAAAGCAGGTTATCGTTTAGATTAATTCATTTCATGAAGAGGTATTAACAGAAAAGAGGTGCAGATACACTACGCCTTCATGTATAGGGATATTCATAAAGCACTGATGACAAAATTAAACACAAACTTAACCACTAAACTCTCTCATGGCTCACTAAAAACCCTCCTACACCATTCAGTGTCCTCAGTAGCACACCCAGTCTTTAATCCTCTTAATTTGAAACATTAATGTTCTTTAAAAAAGGAAATTTTCTCATAAAACAGCACCTGTTGGGCAGGGATTTTGGTCTCTTGGGCCACAGCTTGTCTCAGTCTGGACACAGTGCCAGAAAGAGGCACCGCCACGCCGACTCTCATGCAGTGGGAGCACTTTCCTTGGTACACCACTGTCACATACAAGGGCCTGCAACACAGAAGGACTGAGGGTAATTGGCTGTTTCGTAACAATGGCAAGACTGATGTTTCAAAAATAGACTGCATCTCCTAATTTTAACTTTCTCCTGTCAGATCTTTTGTGGTGTTTGTTGAGGCTGGGTTTGACACTTCTGTTTAATGCCGGGTTCAGACTGGGTCTTGTCTCGTTGCAATTTTTGGATAGAGGGATTTTTTTGTGTGTGTGTGTGTCTGATAGATATTGTCTTACTCATAAACAAGATACAGAGTCACCTTACCGTGTGTGAGGTACCGGGATTGGCAGTGAGATGCAGAGGAAAGGATCAAAGGTGTTGCTCTGTTTCTGGCAGTGAGGGCAAGTCAGGGAGGACCTACAGAGAGACATGAGGATGTTAGTGTTTCATCGTAAAGGAGTAGTTCACTGTTTTGGGAAATACGCTTATTCACTTTGTTGCTGAGAGCTGGATAAAAAGATTGATACCACACTCAGAGCAGCAGGTAAAGTCCTGTATCAGGTCTGGTGACCAGCAAAAAAGGTTTGCAGGCGGTATTTTGTCCTAATTTTTTTTCTGGCTTTGGTTCTAGATTAAAACAAGAGCATGAAGGTCAGATGGCAGGTGTAAGATAATAAATATATCAAAATAAAATGAAAATAATTTGAGAATTTATGAGGATAAGCAAAAAAATATGAATGTAAATTGTAATACCTGAATTGCATTTGTTAAAAAATATATTTTCTTTGTTTCATATGACTAAAATGTCCAACAGTGATCACTTTAAATGTGCTGCGTACAGTTACTATAAGATTTGCAATTTCAGGTCAGGCTCCATGTGCTGACAGGTCGTGTCAGGTTTTGGAACTAATTGGTCATGTGTGGGTGGTGGGGCAGGTGCAGTATTGCACGTCCCATTTTTAGTTTGGGAGTAGGTCTTAAAAATCAGACCCATGCAGGACTGTGGCAGCAGATTAGCTTAGCTTAACAAAAAGGCTGGAAACAGGGGAAACAGCCTGGTTCTGTCCAAGGGTTAATTTATCTCTCTACCAGCAACTTTAAAGCTCACGAATTATCCCTTAACATATCATTTGTTTCATCAGTATAAAAAACAAAGTGTAAAAACAATATATTTTAGTCTTACAGGGGTTACATGCCAAACTTTTTCCTGCCTGGCAAACTCAAGATGACGACAAGAGTCCAGGAAGACCAACACACAATCCCCCTGAAACACTGTGTGCCTTTTTTACACTTTATTACACAAATTATTGAAACAATATACAATATGTTTATGACATTTAAATGTGGAGGAAGGCAGATTTTGTTACTTTTAGAAAAGCCAGGCTAAGTTGTTCTCCCTTCTTTCAATCATTGTGCTAAGCTAAGCTAAGCTAAGCTAAGCCAACCAGCTGCTGGCTGTAGCTTTAAATTTAAAACACAGGTATGAAGGGAGTATTTTGACTCTGATGAAGACACAGTAGTGTGTAAACGTTAGTGTGTTTGCTCTATTAAAAGCTGTTAATCGATCAGTGTGCTTCAGTCTTTTCTTTTCTTTTGAAAGTTCTCTGTCCTTGAGCTGAGAAGCACTTGATTTTGCCCCATGCTGCTGGAAAATATGCAGGGAACTGTTTCATTTGATATTACTGGTGTATCATTTCAAACATAACTGCCACTGTAGTACAGGAAGTACACAGGACAATATACACACTTGATTAAAAAACACTTTCTATTACTCATCCCTTCATTTTTTCTGTACTTGGGTCACACAAAGACACCCAAGCAAGTTTTGTTCTCTGAAGACGGCCATGAGATATGGTTTGCCTTTTTTAGACAGCTCATCTAAACTTCCAGGTTTACTGGGGGGGGCCTGGACAAGGCTGGATTTTCAAAATAAAAGCCCCCGGATAGTAGACTCACAAGTCAGTCTTTAGACGCTTTGTTTAACTAAAGACTGATGTCTTTCTCCCTGATTTTGTGTTTAAATGGGCGAATACAATTTCAGAGTTTAAAAAAACTCCCTCCCAGAACCAATAGTAAATCCGCAGGGCGGTCCTTCGGTGGCTCGCTGAATTCTTGTACTCGTAAACATAGTCCGACTGTGTTAAAAGTTTTAAACAAAGTCACTGTAAGTCCTTCATTTCCACAATCTTGTGGACTGAGCACACGTTTGATAAAACGGAGTTAAATCTCTCGGCATCCATTTTCAAGCTCTCTGTGTGTTTGTTTCCTTGCGGATGAGAAAAGGGGGAGTGCACATTTCCAGGAGGGCATGTCCTTTTAAAAAATGCAAGAGGCGTTGCTTTGTTGCCAGCCGTTTTCTCCGGTGTGTTAAACACACAAGACCATCAGAAGGCGGAGATCTCTGATTGTCTGGTGGCGAGACTACCCGGATAGTAAAATGAGTTCAGTAGGGGCCCTGGACAAGGCTTGATTTAAGAAAAAAGAAAAAGAAAAAGAAAAAAAAAAGGCCCCAGGATGGTACCAGGAGTTTACCCAGGGCCCTGGGTAAACTCCTGGTACTACCAGGAGTTTACCCAGGGCCCTGGACTCTGTTAGATTTTCAAAATAAAAGCTCCCAGGTGGTACTAGGAGTTTACCGGGGGTCCAGAGAAAGCGGGATTTTTCAAAATAAAGCCCCTAGATTTCAATACTTCGAATAATTGAATAAAAATATTCAAATCTTCATTGTACTCCACTTAAAAATTCTTCCACTCTTCATGCTTTTATCTACAGCATTTGAGCTTTAAACTCACAAATTATACTTTATATTATACATCTCCCATACATTGTTTGATCTACTACTATGTCCACATACTTTCAGCCACAGAAATCATGTCAATGTGAAAATGTTTTGCTCTTTAAAGCTCTAGATTAGATTATTTTCTCACAAAGTTGCGTGTTATATGTTTGGCATATGTCATCATTTTCCAGACAGCTGCCCGGCACATGAAACAGTATGTTATGGACTTTGTTTTATTATTCATAAACGTTCCTCATGGACTTTCAGATTAATATTTATGTCAGTGAGCAGGTAGTGAATCAGTATTTTCAGTCGGATCAAACAGATTCTACAGCAGCAGCTGAAAGTTTCACCTGTATTGTGCCTGAAACAACTCCTGTACAAAAGAGCCAGGTGCTGGTAGTGGAGATCCTTCAGGGGCACTTTCCTCTTCTACTGGAGGCTGGAACAAACAATACAGAAACTATTTGGTAAACAAATATTATCAATGTTACATAACAGCAACAGCCACCAGTGGTGCAGTTTATAGCATCGCAACATTCAGTTTATTACACTGTTGATCAGTTGGGAAACACAAAAGGTGCAATATTCTCTCAGAACGTAAAAACATTGTGAGGTATTCGCAGCATCCTGGTGTATTGCTAAATATAGAGTACCATGTAATGTGTTTACCTTCCTGGGGGGTCTGATGTCAGGGTGGACGATATGGTTGAGGTCTTCGTGAACTCTATCCAGCAACCAGAGGAGGAATTCCTGGGCATCGTGCTGGGAGTTACCCTTGAACTGAAGGGCGCTCCTGGACACCACATTCTGCAGCCAGACAAACAAATTACAATTCAAACGGACTGCTCCTCAGACAGAAATGTTGTTTTTTGTTGACATCACTGCCCCATCATAAAATATTCAGGGACCGGGATGATGATCAGCACAATCCGAAAAGGTCAACAGAGGTGTGGGCGATGGTGAAACGCAGGCGCGGAGAAGCTTTTTAAAACCAGGACACCAGGCTAGAAATCGACAGCTTAACCTCACTGACAATCAGCTATCGGAGATGACAACAGTGTGTCCTCTACAGGGCCTCCCATGCTGGCAGCTGTGAAGTCACCTCTGCTAGCTATCAAATGTCACGCAAGGTCAAAGATACAAGGGGACCGTGCACTGTGTGCCTCTCCTGGACTGTCCCGGGGGACGTTCTCTCTCATTTTGAAGGCATTACCAGTGCAGCCTCAGCGTTTTGTGCAAGATGTGGCGCAAACACAGAGCTGGGCTTCCTTCTGTGGCTTGGCTACCGAGGCTGTCTTTAAGTAGAGATGTGTAGATGAGAGATTTGTATAGTCCCCTGATTATGAGACAATTCTAAAGTGACTGTGAGTGAAATGTGGACTGAATATTGTTTGAAATATCTGTATCTGACTGTCATGTAATATCCCAACAATACAAAAGATCATAATCAATAAAAAAGTCTAATAATTTCATCACTCATTGATTTCCACTACCTTGTGTTGTTTACAGACTGCCACCATTTGTTGGATTTGTTTCACCATCCGTCACTTTGTCAAATTAGCTATCGCTTTCCACAAATGGCGAATGCATCCCCTAATTGTCTATGGAGAGTTTGTGCAGATCGCGTTTGGATGGCGTACAACAACATAAGCCTCAAACCAATTGCTTCTGGGAGAAAATGGACTCCGAGACACAGCGGATAATTCCCCTGTGTTATTATCACGGATGTCTTCCTAATGATCTTTAAGTGCTCTCAGTTTTAGGGCTCAGATTGTGGTCCGAGGGTAAGAGGCACAAAGCCGTCACATGTCCATGCCGAGCTGTAATGTACACTCACCGCAAAAATAACATGTTTTGCTAAAGTTCAATTAGCTGCATTTAAGGTTGTGGGTGAAATCAAATTTTTGAAGTGATCATAGAGGCAGCAGCTTGGGATGTGATCAGCCAAAACAATCTACATTAGCATTTGAAGAAACTAACAAAATGAATCACCATTAGATTTTGAATATATTGACAGGATTCCTCACAAATTAGATACTAAATCTGAAAAATAATCTTTAAATAAAGTGCCTGATAGGCTGGTTTTGCACTTCATTTCCCTACTGAGTTAAACAGATTCAAGGCCTCTCACTCGGGAGAGAATAATCTATATCCAATCAGACAGTTTGTACTTTGGCTGGCAACCAAGGTAGAAAAAAGTGGACAGAAATAGTAACACTGTCAAGAATAAGCAATGTGTTGTACGGCCCCTGTTCAATCGAGTCCCTCTCCGTTATGTATTTTGGACTTTTGAAAGCAGAAAATAGGTTATCAGACAGACAAAGACAGAAATAAAGTAGCCTTGTTGCGAAAGAACAACCCTTTGTGGCTGTGACAGGCAGACTTTTGAGTGGCCCGGGTACAGGTTTACGAGGTGAAACCATGAAAAAAGCAGACGAGGCTGCAACAAAAGCTGATGTGTGGCGAAGACAGTCCAAAAACAAGATGAGATTAATTACAGCTCAGATCCAGCACTCAGCTGACTGGCTAAAACAGCCATTTAAAGAATGGAGAGTGAGTCCGGGAACACTGGCTTCACCTGTTTCAATAGGATTTATTCTCCTATAAAAAGCCTGATTGTAAGCACAAATATTACATAAAATGTAACCAGAACTGTGGCCTTGCTTTTTCATACATAAAACATAAAACAAATGATCATTTTTGCATTAGAGAAGAGGCTAAACACTAATGCAATATGAGGGATGCTGCTCCAGAGGCTCGCTGTCAAGCAAAGCAGCCAAGGCCACTGCATCTGACCCTGTACACAATTATCCTGACAGATGAGGGAATTTCGTGATACTGGATAGACTCAAATTAATATTTATTTATTTCATATATACTGCCCAGTGGGATCAAAGCATCTGCACTTGACAGAGCACAGAAACCATTTGGTTTTCTCTAAATGATCGTACCACTGATGATTTAAAAAGATGTTTCAACATAGTTTTCTTAGACGCTCATGGTCCTGCTTTTTGTGTAATGTCCTTCATGGTACACTGAAGGCACAAACAGGCTAGAATTCAACTTTCTGCTCACAAGGACCAGTTGAAAAAATGACTTGAAATGAAGCTCCTGATAGCAAACAGCAACAATCAACAAAGTCAAGGACGCAGGTTTTGTTTTAACACTGGGGGAGACAGAATACCAAAATGGGAATAAAGTGAAATAAAGTGACACTTTCTGATAAAGACATATTTGTGACCTTGTTTTTTTCAATACTTGATAAAACGGCTTGAAAGTGCAGAAAAATACATGTGTGCTTCTGTGTGAAAGAGACACAGGGGTAGCTTGTGTGTCTGGTTATACTGGAGCAACTCAAAAAAAAAAAACAGTTTGACAGTGATTTTGATGCAAATTTAAGTCATGACTAATTACTACTGATTAAGGTAAAATAAATCAATTTCAGCTCAACTAATTTCACTGCAAGCATATAATCCTTAGAAGACAAAGGTAACAGAGATGAAAGACAGGAAGAAAAAGATGGGGGGGTATTAATTTTGGTCACACAGCTTTTAATCACGGGTCTCGTTTCAACGTTTGTCTGGCCACGTATGAAACTGGGAGCTCTGGGTTATTCTGACAGAAAACCTTATTTCCTGCATTTTTGTGCATGAATTTATGGTGTAAATATCTTTCATTTTGTCGAAACAAAAGCCCTCTGCTGCTTTCGTGTTTTTATCGTCAGGGGCAAATACACTTTCTGTATATAGCTATAGGGGGACGTGGCCCCTTTGTCCCCCTGAAATCTACGCCTGTGAACAAAGTTGTTCATTTAAGAGGATCACATCTTCACCTGGCATCTCCCTTTGTTCAAGTTCATTTGTAGATATAAAAACACATCAGGGGCACTGAAGGGTCTGGAAACTTTCTTCTAGTTAGGATCTAATTTGGGTCTTTATTCTGTGGCCGCTGATGGCAAATATCAAACAAGTTCTTCTGACAGAAAATTTTAACTGTTGTTAATGCACCAATTTGTACATTAAAATCAATTTAAGGTATCTAGAAACTTACTTATAGTTAGGGTCTAATTTGGGTCTATGTGCATAAATGATATCTCATAAAGTCAGAGTTAGGAGCCCTGCATGCTGCACATCCTACCTTGAAGTCTCTGCTGTGCTGAGGTGTGTACTCAAAGGTCCACAGAGCCCGAACCAGCCCGGACAGCTGCTCAGTGACCTCCCCAGCCTCCTGCTGTTGCTGCTGCTGTTGCTGTTGCTGCTGGCTCCCCTTCTTCTGCACCAGCACCCCGTTGGACTTGGCCTTGTCGTTGCTGCTGCTGCTCGTGTCTCCCCCTTTGAACTGCTCCAAAGCCAGGTACTCTGCGAAGAGCTCCGTGTTGCTCAGGCACTGCAAGATAGCGTTCATGAAGCAGGTGTTGCCGTGGTTCTTGAGTCCGGCGACACCCGGCACCTTGTCTCCGAAGGGGAAACCCCCGCAGTCGCTGTCGTCGGACGGGACTGACCCTCCGGTGGTGGTCGGGATCAGAGTCGCGTCGTCCTTCTCATCCTCGGCGGCCTGCTCGTCGGTGCCGAAATGAGACAGAGTCGAGAGAGTCCGGAGAACTCTGTTCATAAAGCTCCCAACGGAGCGGACAGAGCTTCTCCGGAAGAGTTTTTTACTGAAGGATTTCTTCTCCTTGTTACTCACAACTTTCGACATGGTCGCTGTGATGGCTTTCCCTCCGCGTTTTTACGCCTTAAATCCAGAAAGGGCCCCTTTTGATCAGAGCATCCCCGCGCAGTGACAGCTCCTTCACTTTATGTTTCACACAAGGCCCGAGCATATTTCACAGAAACACAAAGGCCTGGCAGTTCTGGGGATCATATCACATGGAGAGAGTAGCATCAATTCAGCCCACTTGCAACACTGCGTCGGATTGCATAAACAGCCTCCATGGAGAGCCGCTGCCAGGGCGCAAGACGTGGACGCTCGGGGTCGTCCCGCAGCAGCCAGCGGACATCATCTCACCATAGCATCACTTGTGTCATTGTTCACACACCAAAACAAGGCGCTGTGGTTGAGGATCAGTGTCACACATAAACATCAAATCAACCTTTCACAATTAGGCTGAGAGTGACGAGCGGAATCCCTCATCATTTATTAAACAAACCGCAGCTCCACCCTTTAAAGGGGGATCTCTTCACCTCTGCCCGTCGGATCCACGGTGGTGTCGAAAACGGACCGGGGTCGTGATATTTACCCAGTGGATGTCTTCCCTAAATCGCCTCCACAGTGCTCGCAGGAGCGCTGCCAAACTGAGGAACACCCCGACCGGAGCGGCACAGCCCGCCGCTCCCTCGCGTTTGGCCGCCGCCGCGGAGCATCTCTCGGTGTGCCAGATGTGAAAGGTGCACGTTTCCGTGTCCCCATCCGAAAGTTTGTCGACACTTGGTCTCACTCCCCGCGCGCCTTAATTCCTCCTCCGGATGGGCTTGATGGCGAGGCCGCTGCTCCCGTCTCCATCATCATCTGTAGGCACCGATACTGCAGGCAGGGCGGTAACGGCTGACGTCAGGGCCATACACTGGTCCATGTTGGAGGAGAGCAGGTACAGCGGCATGTGATGCTGGATGATGCTCCATCCCCGTCTCTGGACAGCATGGGCACTGACGAGAGCCAGCTGGGCAGCAACATATTATCACATCATTTACTGAAGATAAATATAGGAATGATCTGATTTATTTATAGGGTCATTTTAGGGTTATTATTACAGTTAGTTTCATTCTTGTAAAATTAGGCTACTTGTCAGCTATTATAAATTGCTCTTATCCCAGATAAATTCTATTTTTGGTATCTTAAAGCTGTTGGTGATTTATACAGGAGGGTGCAGGTTTGATTTCAACACAGTGGGGGGACACATAGGATATGAAAAAGAAGATGAGGAGAGGGTCCTCCGCTAGAAAATTCTACACATCACTTATTTTTCTTGCATTTTTATGCACCATTTTGTGACTTTTCTGCACCAATTCACGGTGTAAATGTCATTCATTTTGTCAAAATAAAAATCCTATGCTACTTTAATATTTAAATTAGGAGGGAGGGTGAGTGGGTGGGTGGGGGGGCACAGTGGGTATGAAAAAGATGGGTGGGGGGGTTGTCCTTTCCATATTCATGCACCGATTTGTGACTGTTCTGCATCAATCATAGTGGATAATCATAGTGGACATTTTATTAATTTTGTCAAAATAAAAACCCCTCTGCTCTGCTATTATTTAAATTGGGAGGGGGGTAGTTTGGGAGGGGCATGTTCTACACATAAATAAAAAATATGAAATCTACGCCTATCTGTTTTTTTTTTTTTAAATCTAAAAATAACTAATTATTTTCATTATTAATCAGTCGCATCATCATTTAACATGGCAGAAAATGCCCCAAAATTACCATCACTATTACCTAAAACACAAGGTAATGTCTTCAAATTGTTTTGGTCCGACCAACAGTCTAAACCCCAAACCTATTCAGTCTTCACAGACAGAAAAGCAGCCATATTGGACAAACAGGAAGTGGGAAATGTTTGGCTTATTTATTTATTTATTAAGCAACATATAGAAGAAAATGTCTCTTTAAGCACCAGTTTGCACCAACTTCATTAAAACACCTGTACTTCAGTAATGGGCGATGGAATTCTCTGCAGCAGTGGTTCCCAACTGTTTAATTTTATATACTTTATTAATCCCCGAGGGGAAATTCAATTTTTCACTCTGTTTGTCAATTACACACAGGTCCGAACACACACATGCACAAACTGGACCTATACATGCACTAAGTGGAGAGATGTCAGAGTGGGCTGCCCATGACAGGTGCTCCTAGCGGTTGGGGGGTTCGGTGCCTTGCTCAGGGGCACCTCGGCAGTGCCCAGGAGGTGAACTGGCACCTCTCCAGCCACCAGTCCACGCTCCATATTTTGGTCCGGACGGGGACTTGAACAGGCGACCCTCCGGTTCCCAACCCAAGTCCCTATGGACTGAGCTACTGCTGCCTACTGTCGCGGTCCAAAATTCTGGACAAACCACAAGTGACTTAAGAACATGTCAAGTTTGTACACTTTATGTGGAGTACAGTGAATTTTGGCACATAGCTTTTATTTCAAAGCCCCATTTCCTGCTGTAGACTGACAAATGAACAGCTACTTAACAGAGACAGCAAACTAGCTTGATGATATGGCCAAACACAAGTATGACGTTGAATATATTAAACTGCATGGTCCTTGAACTACTGATTAAGGAGAAATCTGGACCTCCTGGCTAGACCAGTTGGTAACCACTGCTCTACAGAATGATTTAAAGGATTGTCTAAATATTTTTCAGCTCAATTAAATGTATAAAGAAAGAACAATTAGACAATATGAAGTTGTTGTGTCAAAGCTGTCCTCTTGTTGAAGGAGACATTGTGTATGGCTCTCAAATCTTCTCTGATTATTTATCTTTTTGAAGTTACCATAAGTATTTATTATCAACTGTAACTGACAGGCCACCTTCTGTCTTCTGATTATTTGTGTTTTGAGAGACTCCTACTCCTTTTCGGTCATGGAATATAGAGTTGTTTTGATTGTGAATCTGAGTGTTGTGCATGGACATGAGCATAACAAATTAAAATCAATTCAAACTAATCTTTTTAGCACTAATTTAATTAACCTTAAAGGTCCAGTGTGTAGGACTGAGAGGAATCTATTGGTAGAGATGGTTAGTAATATTCATAACTATGTTTTCAGTTTATAATCACCTGAAAACAAGAGTCATGTTTTCTTTACCTCAGAATGAGCTGTTTATATCTTCATGTGGAGCGAGTCCTCTCTGCCATGTTGGTTCTACAGTAGCCCAGAACAGACATATCAAACACTGGCTCCAGGTAGGACCATTCACAATTTCGTATTTTTGCGTCAGCCCCTGTAGTTCTCTTACACGCTTGGCACACAGGAGAAGTTTCAGTTCTACATCCTCACCGCCAGATGCCACTAAATCCTACACACTAGACAACTTTTACTATCAAAAGAGCCATTTTTGACCAATCATATTTGAGTCTTATAATGAAGGTGAAACACTTTCCTGATTAGTTTAATAATTTCAGCACCACTTCAAAAAAAGATTTTAAGCATCTCACCAAAACCTTAAAAGACCCGTGGTGTCACTGTTCCCAAGTTAAGAGTCTTACCTGTGTGTTATTGTAAAGTCTTCTATTCCTGTACATATTCCCCCGACGGCTGACTGTGACAGACACGCCAATTTTCACGACTTGAAGGTGCAAATACTTTCAACATCGGTAAAGAACAAAAAAAGTACAAAACGTGGCACTTTGGAGACATTGGACACACAGACAGTTCGACCCATGTGGGAATAGGAAAGAAGGATTTAGCAGAAAAGGCCATACATTTATTAAACTTGATAGATTACATTACAAACTCATCCCACCCCCGTTTCATCTGGAGGATAAAAATAGCTTGACAAAAAAAACTAACAACAGGATCCATTTTAGTGTTGATGTCAATGTTTTATGTACAGATTTTCACGATACTGCATGGAAAAATATGGAAACTTGTATATATGACTACTACAACCAGAGAGGGAGTGAGGGATCTCCTTCACCTTCACTTTTCCAGTCAACTGCTGTATACGAATCGCAGTTAACAGAAAGCTATGCAGCTCATATCAGACCTTAATATAATTAAATATAGATGAATTATATTAGTATAACAAATAACAAGTAATATATCAGTCATGTAGATTTCAAATGCTCTCACGCGTCCCCTGATGTACATTTTGTTAGCTCCTTAAATGCTTCAGCAACTTCAAAAAATGCAGAAATTAAAGATGTATGGTCAAGACACTTTCCCCTTTTGGCTTGACTTGAAGGCATTATCACTGTTGAGCATTCACACTTCAACAATAATCTGTATAAAATAAAAGAAAAACTCTGAACTACCCTGATTTCAAACTCTTAACATTCCCATAAATGCCATGAATCCATATAAAAAAGTCTGACCCACTCTGATTTATTAACATTCCCATAAACGCCTCTTCAGACAGGACTATAATCCTAAAATTCTGCAGCCTCAAATTTGAGACTGTACTACTAGTGATATCACATTCTTCATTTTCAAGCAAGCCTACGAGTCCCCGCTGTCGCTGTACCTACAGAGTCTGTGTTCCTCTACCTCACTGTTAGTAGTCAATGCAACGAACAGCAGCAATGGTGGAGGCCAGTCGACGAGGCAGTGTTTTGGCGATCTGTCTGTAGTCTTCTGGTTTGGCCCTGAGCAGGGTGACGATGTGCTGCAGGGTGCGGGAAGGCTGCAGGCCCAGAGCGTCCATCACATTGCTCAGATAGTCTGTGGAGCAGGAACGAGAATCATCAATACCCATTAACTCAGCTGCTGTTTCACTGAATTGTTTTGCTTAGCCATCATAAGGGATTCCTAACTACACATGTCCGTCTGGCGTTCTGGTTACCGTACCGATATCTGTGGCCAGCTGTTTAGTGGAATGGGTGTTCAGTTGGGGGATGAGCAGGATGGCGTCACAGTAGGTCTGCATCGTTGCCCGTGCTATGGAGCCAAGCCAGTAGTCCGCAGTGTTGTCCAGCTCAGGAAGGTCATCACCTGAGACAGAAGGAAGGTCATATTTGTAAAGAGAACAAGTGATGTAAATACTAGACAGATGGGGATTTAATTAAGGGGTGTTGGGGACAAAGGGGAAGCTGGACAAAATTATGTGCAAAAGAAAAGGTTGTCCAAAAAGGGAGTCCAGCCCCGTGGCAAATCTGTGCTGAGAGCAATCTGACCTCTTTGCTCCTTGGCTTCATAATGTCAGTAGTCTTAGAGAATACTGTAATGCTGGATCACTTTTATCATGTTACTTGGTAACTCTGGGTGTATTCTTCTGCTTCACAAACTACGACCTTTGAAACAGGCCAAAAACTGCAGTTCCTCCAATATCCTCTTGAGACTGGCTCCAAAAGCAAGTTGATCCCCATAGACTACCATGTTAAAATGCCCAACTTTACAGCAGAAATAAACATGTTTTGGTCTCTATAGCTAATCTCCTCCTTCAAGAAAACTGTACGGGTGGTGAATTTCTTCATAACTCACCCCTTTCAGCTTTATTAAGGCTTACATTTACACATAATGGAGTGACAGCGTGTCTGAGAGGCGCCACTACAGTCTATGAGTCAGATCCACCCTCGCTCCTCCACAGTTGCACGCTCTCGTCCAAATATGGTCACTTCTGACTCCAAAAATACAAGATGGTGACAGCTAAAATGCCAAACCGAAGGCTTCACTACAGTAGTCCACAAACCAATAGGGGAAATCATGGTGTGTATGTTCATTTTTATACTACTTTAATCATTATCATCACTTGCCCAAAATACTACACCAAAAACTGATTTACATCAAACTAGTGCTGTTGTTCCTTTCTGTCTTAATGCTGCAGATTTACAGATTTGCAGATTTTGGATTGACCCTGCCACTCCTATCAAATACACTTGTCTACCAAGCCAGGCTAATACAGACATCAGTCTGTGGTGTGTAATTTGGGTATCAAATTGCAAATTGTTGTTTCCATTTTCTGTTGTCATGACCGCAGTCAAAGAAGATTGATTTTACCTTTAAACTCATTGGTTTTACACTTTAAACATGTTTATATTCTTCTCTTTTGTTTCATTATGGGATTATGTACAAACTGGAAAATTATGGGGATTTATTTTCACAGTATACACTAATTGTTAGATAATCTATATATAATTAAATGTAAATTAATTCCTTGTGTCAGGTGACTCTTTCTTACTTTGAATATAGTAAAATAAATGGATAAAAAGAGGGCTTTATATACAGGAAGGGTTTGCTGAAAGAAAGAAAGCAGAAATAAATAAAAGTGAAATAAAAACAGAAAGGGTTATACATCATGTGGAGTGTTAGATTGAGAAGAGGATCAGGGCTGATGAACAGTAACCTTGCTCTGGAGGGAAAGGCAGCTTCCCAGCGTGTAGGGCCATCTCCAGCGCCGGGTCCTCCTGAGTCACAAATGGCTCCAAGTGGAGAGGCAGAGACATCAGGTACTGCCCTATCTGTGAGGGAAAGACACATGTAGTGTGATGTATCTGGTGTCTTGGAGCGACATTTATTGTACAAGTTTTAGCTGTGAATCTGTACAAAATGGCTCTTTCATCTTACTGTTGTTTTTGTATTGATCTGCGCTGCATGTTTTAATCACATCAATTATGAATAACTTTAATTGATTGTCATGACGTATGTTAAAGCCGATGACTCACATTTGTAATGTATTCTTGCGGCGACAGGCTGAAAGTAGGCAGGTCCTCTGTGTAGCTCTCTCCTAAACCAGGCGCCTCTTGTCTCTGAGCACAACCAAGGGGAACGAATCAAACAGCACGAGGTGAGATCAAAATAGACACAGAAAGTCCGACACTCCAGTGCACATGCACGAAGGCAGTTGAAAAGCTCTCAGTGATGCACTCAAATGGTGCCGATCAGTATTTCGAATCAAATCATGCAGTAACTTGACACTTAATCACCTCCATCTTGGAGACAAGGCAGAGCTGGTGTTTGATTTGCAAGAAGACAGAGTCAAAGGCCAGCTGGTTGGCCTGCTGGTTGAGTCTGGTCAGAGCTGCTCTGGGCTCTGCTAACAGGTTGGAGTTACCTGTGCCCTTCTCCTGCAAGACAAGGGGAAACACGTGCTTGAAACAGCCACAGGGTCCTTGATAACATGCTGCAGCATAACAAGAGTCAGTTCTCTTCATCGGACATCAACAATATCTATTCTCATTCAGGCATCACGCCATGCTCCATACCTTTAGGGAGTAGAGGACTTCCATCAGGCTGTTGTATTCAGCCATATTCCCCCTCTGAAGATAGTTGTATTCCTGCCACGGGTTTTTGGTCGCGCTCTTCCTCTCTGTGGAGCTGGCTTCCTGGATGCCTGCAAGGCTGCGTGGGCTGTACGACTCTGACAAGTACTTACCTGCCGTGCCCAGGATCCTATGGATAGGAGTGACTGTAGTCAGAGAACGCACGCGATACCTTAAATTCTGACATGGTGCCTTGTTGACAGGACGCCCCATGAGTTACATCCGTGATAAAGAGAAAGGTTTAGGGCAAGACAAGTAATACATTATGAAATATAAAGGTATAGAAATTGTTCTTACTTGTTTGACAGCTGCTGCTCGAAGGCTCCGCATTGTCGAAGCAGTTCTCCACAGGTGGCGATGATCCTGTAAAACACAACATAACACTGTTACCCATCCGTTTTCTGGCGGTTATCTGGGGCCAGGTCCTTGTGGCAGGAAGTTAAAGGGCTGTCCACACCAAGATCGAGAAGGATAACTATAAAAATGTGAGCATCCACACTGTGTGCCTCCCTGTAAATTCTGATGGATTTTGATTAGCTGTCAGGGTTTGTGTCGTTCATTAAATTATGATGAACAGTTGGTTGGGCTCAGGACTACTTAAAAATGCTCTTTCCACCGCTCAACAATATCCCCAGCAGGGTCAGCAGTTCTCATACCCTGATGAACGCAGTCTGAGCCAAGCCCCGATTTCTCTTCCTGAGTCATCTAAAGGTTTGCCAGATAGTCATTTGGGCCAACTCCATACTCAAGAGCCTCTCCAAAGTCCTTCCACACCCAGTTTTTATGCTCTGGTGATGTCCACCAGATGGTGATCAGTTGACAGCTCTGGCAGTTCTCTCTTCACAAAACTTTCCAAGACACGCAGCCACAGATCTGATGATTCGACCATGAAGTCGATCATCAATCTTTGGTCTAAGGTCGAACATGGTGTTTGGAAGGTCAATCCAAGACCAGGACAAGTCCAGGTTTAGATCAGGCAGGCTATACCTCCCAACCACCACCCACCAGTTTTCTCTATCCTCGCCCACTTGAGCAGTGAAAACCCCTTGCAGAACCTAGGCATTATCCTTTCTGGGACCCCACACAGAGACTCCAAGAAGGGTGGATACACTGAGCTGCTGTCCATAGACATAAACATAACATTCCTCTCAGCAACTCTTAGTCACACAGAGCCAACCTGCTTGTACTCTGGGGAGATTTCCGACACAGCTGCACTCAGCCCGGGGCTCATGAGCATCCCCAACCCCGCCGCAAGAGGTACCTGATCTCCTGAGTGTTACAAAACTCAGTATTCTAATGAAACTGTCTCATATGTAAAAGAAATACATATAAAAATATTAACCTGACAGAGTTCTGGAAGGCAGTCCAGTCCTCCTGGAAAGCTAATGAACTCGGCGCGTCCTCCATTTTACACTTCTTCCTGATTGACTGCAGTGTTGTGGAAAAGTCCGACACATACCTACAGTAGAACAAGCACAATGTTAAAGCTGGCTACAGAAATCAAATAAAGTAAGATCTACATACCATAAACATTAGGCAAATTATTTCTATCAATGAGGCAAAAGGGTTAAAACTCAATATGTGACTCATGATTGCTCTGACAATAAAGGATATTTACTTGGTGAAGAGGGCTTTGAGGGCTTTGAGGAGGCCACACACAGCCAGTCCATCAGTCAGTTTGACACAGCGGTCCACAGCAGCGCTGGCCAGGCCAAACAACTTGCCAACAGAGTGGCTCAACTCTTCCACACAGTCAATTACCTCCCCGTGTTCCTACAGAGAGGAGAGAGTGCATGGAGAGTGTGAAACGAGAGGCAAACACAGAAAGAAAGACTGGTAATAGGAGGTGAATCGGCAGCTGTGGCAAGGTTTTAATAACTAATATATTGTGTGTATGTGTGCGTGTGTGTGTGCATGGTGTCTTACCAAAGGTACAGCACTGATCTGGATAAGGAGGTGAGCTTCCTCCAGATCTCCATACTGCAGTTGATAGGGTTTGTAGGGGTCATACAGCGCGCACACCAGCTCATTCACCTTCAGCAGATTATTCTCACCTGGGAGAGGAAACACACTCAGCATAAGGACCTGACACTCTACCACATCTGAAGCATCTACGGTCATGTCTTTTCTATGCACAGACCCAGGTGGGGCAGCATGGCAGCCTCCAGGCTGTGTCCGAAGGTGGACGTGGTGTGATGGAGTTCAAGCAGCGTGTCGAGGCGTTGCTCTTGGGCTGCACGTTCCACGGCTGAGCTCAAGCACACAGGGATGGATGGGACCATGGCCCCAAGAGTTTGGATCAGCAACACTGTCACCACCTCATACGGGTTCTTGAACACCTATAACAACATAGGAAATGTGCAAACAATTAAAATCTTACTGCTCACCATACAGCCCTTTCAAATAGTATGTTAGCACTGCTAGAACTTGTCAAATTGCAGTCGATTTAACATCCGGTAGTGTGTCTCACCTGGCTGCTCCACTGTAGTTGAGAGTGCCACGACGACAGCAAGGTGTCGTAGAATTCAGACAGCTGCTGATTCAGACTGAGCTCGCTCTGTGAGAGATCCTGCCACATGCTCACCAACTGACCCTGGAGATGCCGAAACAGACCTTCACTCAGAAATGGACATTACAGCATGCCTACGCCAAGCAGGTTATTAGGTCAGGGAGAGAGGCCTGTGGCACCTACCTTGTGACACTTGTAGTAGTAGGCAAGCAGCTGTGGCATTCTATCTATCTCTGTGAAGACTTTAACAAACAGCTTGGCTTGGTCTGCAGAGAAAACATTAGTATACTTAGTGTACACTGAAAGTGAACAAATAAATAGAAGTTGGAATAAATATGAGAAACAAGTTCTTACCTGTAGACATAGAATTAAAGGTTGCTACTATCTGTGGGCTGGCCAAGGCCTCCAGTCTGTTTTTCAGAGCCTCCAGGTGGACACACTTTTCAGAGTAGTCCGGTGTGTCCACCAACATGGCCAGGCTGTTCTGCATGCTGGTCAGCTTGGAGGAAATGACTGCAAGATCCTGGAGAAAGAAGAAACACATTCAAGGTTTATGTCTGCAAAGTAATAACTTAATATTCTATCAGTAGCTGTTAGATGATAAAACACTCTAATCATGCTTCAGAAATTCAATATTTCAATGCCCTTGTCTGACCTAAACAGAATCAGTTCACATCAAATGTCTAGATAAATGCTGTCTGGCACACATTAAAGAATTGGAATTATTCCTAGAACATTAAAATACATTTTGTGAGCTTCAAGTCATACTACATTAAAGGGTGAAAATACATCTGAACATCTTATATATACAGATGTACGCCAAGATAAGCAGTAAAAACCTCACAAGTGAAGTCCTGTGGCAATGTCTTTCATTTCTACCTGTGTTTTGAAGGTCTCCTCAATGTCTGCACTCAGCGTGCTCCATTTGTCTGCCTCCTGCAGAGCTTCAGCTGCCGACTGCATGCGGCTCTTCACTTGATCTATCTCCACCAGGACCTAATGAACAGGAACCACCCGATATACAGGTCATTTGCATAAAGTCCGTATACATATGCTATATACAATATGCAGTAAAGATGTAGCGATTTTTAGTTATGCACACCTGCATAGACTGCACGGTGTCCTGCTCAAACTTCTTGATGTCCTCTTTGACCAGAACCATTTGCTCCTTGAGGAAAGACGCTTCCTGTTTCAAAGCCTCCACATCCCGCAGCACTCTGGGCATATTTTGGAGCGCCTGATTACTGCTCTCTACACACAGAAATACAGAAATTATGTTAATGAAGGACATATCAAGAAAATCACAACATTGTATTAAAGTTGGCGCCACTCTAAGAAGAAACAACCAACTGCTGCTCTGTCTACAGATTGGTGTGGTTTTGTACAATGTTTAACATCTGAGATTTTTCACTGCCTTCATGTTACAATTAAAGTCTGCACTGCTTTTCACTCATTGGTCACAATACAGTCAGCTGCCAGTTTAGTGGGTACACCTTGCTATAACTATTGCAGTCCAACACAGAAAAACTGCAATGAATTCTACTTTCCCTACATTTATACTGTTCATTTTTCTGAAACTGTTTTCAGGTGGTGTTTGATTCCACTGACAGGTATTTCTATACATTTGCCCACTTCATTTATACCAATAAAGGAAGACTAAATAACAGAAACACCTCTTAGTATGATGCAATGCAGTTCAACAGCACACGAACTAAATCCTCCTATGCAAAAGTAATCACAAAACTGAACATCATAACCTTCATGAAGACAGGATTTATTGCAGAACATTACATTTAGCAATGTGTGCCAGTAAACTGAAAACTGAGTGTATGTTGAGGAGTCACATAATGTTGTCCTGGCATTATCATTGCTTACAAATTGAAACAGTGCGAATTCTACCATTTCCTCTGATCTCCAGTTTTCCAATTATATATCTGGTATTGCAATTGCAACATTATTATCATGTAGTTTGAATTGCTGCAAATTCAAAAACAATTTATAAACTATTTCTCGAGACCACACAATTTCAAATTGGGTTTCTAGGTGGGAAACAACTCATCGTACAATATGTCACAGTCTAGGCCGTGATGATGGATTACTATAGATACACAGACCTATGGTGCTGATTGCGTGCTGTCCCAATTGACAAACTAGAATGACAATTATGCCAGACATGTAGTTGCCAGTTTGTGTGCTTATGCAGTGTAATACAACAACAATTCAAACCTAATAATAAAACTAAGAAAGGTGTTGACTAGACTTTGTGGTCATATTAAAGTATCCCCTGACTGACACAAATGCGGTAGAGAGCATTCTACATCCCTCAGTGTAACAAATACAATGCATGAATGGGTAGAAATGATGCGGAGCTGCTGCATTGCTGGGCTGCATAATGTGTAGTAGGGTGTCCTAAACCGGAAACTGAGTGATAGCAGGAGAAACTGCGCAGAAGGAATCCCACAAACTGTTAACGTGGCATTAATGCAAAGTGTCATTAGTTTGCTCTAACTGCTTACCCTCAATGGCATTGTTGACTTCCTGGATGAACAGCTGCAGTTTCATGACCAGCGTGGCTGCGTGTGTATCCGCCTTCCCCGGAGCGTCCTTCTGCACCACCTTGAAGGCGCCGTTCACCCAGTCTTTCACATCAAAATCATCGTCCAGGAATTTGGAGAAATCCATTTTGGCCTCTTCACTCCTTCCCCAGTGCAAGCACCGGGCGGTGTTGGGTCAAACTCTTGTGGTGCAGTGCAGTCTGTGTCATCGACCCATTGCTAACGTTAGCTAGTTTTTCCCAAACAATGGCTTCGACACGAATATAAAATAAATAGCCCAGGAAAATGAAATTATCATTACAACTAAATAGAGTTCCAACAAGGCGACGGCCTCCTCCAGAGTTGGTTTTAAACGTCTACGTCTTTAAAGGGAGAAAAGTAAAGACATACTTCTGGATGTTTGTTGGATGCTGGCAGCGCTTCTGACACTTGACAACAACTTCCGGTTTGTGCCTTCTATTTACCTTCCCCAGAAACAAGCGCCAGCCTAACAAACTGACCTGCTGGGGAAAAATCCTCTCAACATAACGACGAATATTTCGTTAACGAAAAAAGGATAATTGGTGCGTTTTTGAATAAAGATATATTTTTTTGTTTGTTTGTTTGTTTTGCTTCGTTTTTAAAGCTTTGTTTAGGGAGTTGTTGCCCGAAGCTGTCTCTCAAACTCCCCTTCTTTTAGTCATTGTGTTGCCCCAAACATCCTCTACCCATGAATTATTATTGGTTCCTACATCTGAGTATTAATTTTAATGTTTGCATTATTGAATATACATACAGCCCTACCTCTGCAGCATAAATGTGTGCACTCTGCCTCCCTCTTGAGGCAAACAATACAACTAACAGTCAAGATACTCAGCAAGAGCAGCTAAAATTACTGCTTTTATGTATCATGACAATTATCTGTTCCTATGGAAATCTCTGTAATTTCCGGTGTGCCTGTAAAACTCCTCCCCTGTGTGATATTTCCGTCCAAAATTTGGCTTGAGTAAATTTAAAAATCGAACATTTGACGATGTGCTAACTTGCTAACAGGCTGCTAACTGGCTAACAGGCTGCTAACTAGCTATCAGGCTGCTAACTGGCTAACAGGCTGCTAATAAGCTAACAGGCTGCTAACTGGCTAACAGGCTGCTAATTGGCTAACAGGCTACCAACTAGCTAACAGGCTGCTAACTGGCCAATAGGCTACCTACTAGCTAACAGGCTGCTAACTGGCTAACAGGCTGCTAACTAGCTATCAGGCTGCTAACTGGCTAACAGACTGCTAACTGGCTAACAGGCTGCTAACTAGCTATCAGGCTGCTAACTGGCTAACAGGCTATTTTCTTCAATTCAGTTGCCTTCAATTCAGTTTTGTCTTTTTAATTAAATATTTCACAAAACATGCCACATGCCTGGCAGGTCCTGTTTCTGTCCCGCTAATATTCCATGAGCATATTTAGAACCTAGGCAAAATTAGCCTTTCTCCCATGGCTACAGGTAGTTTCAATCAGTTTTCTTAACGGAGAAGGTGACAGACAAAATGCCAAACTCAAGGCTTCAAAATGGGAGTTCACAAACCTGTGGGTGACAAAATGGGAGGAGTGGGAGGCTACATTCATTAAATTTACAGTCTGTGCCCAGAACAAGGTGTCCCAATCGTCTTGAGGAGGTGGAATTTTGGAAAATGCACATCTTGTACATTTAACATAATTGTGGCTTTCAAATATGAGTCTGGCTCAGGGCGCCCTTTTGCTCACTTGGTAGAGTGTGCACCCCATATAGGCTGAGTCCTCTGCAGCAGCCTGGTCTTGATTCAGACTTGCAGGCCTTTGATTCGGGTCTCCCACCATTTATGTATTTTTAAAATGGTGTTTGATAGCAGGGAGCAATGGGTACACAGCAGAGGTCACTGACTTGGTCATGGAGCCTTAGCAGATCTGCTTTTGCTGTAACTAGTCCTGATGGGTCCTGAAGCCTATTTACCTATTGGATAAAGGATCTCCTTTTGGTTATTTCTTATCTACTACAGCAGACATTTATTGCCCCACACAGTTGGTTTCATGAATATTATGCAAACCAGAAAGGCAGTAAAGGACTAAGTGGAGAGTGAAGCTGGAAGGCAGTAATGCAACGGGAAACGCACCTCAACCACACTTCGACCAGTTTCTAGCAGCTACCTGGGAGGACATACATAACAAAGGCTTCTTGACAGCTCTTCAGCTCATTTCAAGAGATGGGAATCATTGATGATATTAAGGACACATTGTCCAAGGCGGTGTTTTCCCCTTCTACTCTGTTATCCGGCCGAGGCGGGCTGCACATGGCTCAGATCATTCTGTCTGTGGTCACCTTTGTCCTGGCTGCCTTCAGAGGAGGGAGCAGCCATACCTACTGGAACTACGCTATGTTCACCTGGGCCTTCTGCCCTATCATGACCCTCATCATCACCATCATTGAGATGTTCAAGCTCGATGTCATACTAGATTTGTTTTGCATGAACTGGGCTGACTTCACCACGGGGATGGCCATGTCCTCTACGCTCATGACCGTCTCTGTCGCCATCACCTACGCCAACTTCTACGCCTGTCTGAAATGCCCGTACGGCTGGATTGTGAGCATTTTTGCCATCTTGTGTGGCTTCGTCTACACACTAGAAGTGGTGAAGGACAAATTCCTGGAGAAGAAGAAAGCGAGTTACCTGGCTGCTCTGCCTGGATTCTGGAAGGTTATGGAGGCATTTGTGAGCTGCATCATTTTTATATCACTGACTGGTTACAGAGACAAGCCAGCTCTGATCTTGTGTGTCGTTGCATACATCATTCCATTCCCCATCCTGCCTTTAATCATAGCCACCAACATCCTCAAGAAACTGAAGAAATGTTTGCCCTTTAACCTGGACAGGTTCGTGTTCATATTCCTGGTGATCTCTGTTTTGCTGTATATATTTGCTGCTATTGTGTGGCCCATTTTCACGTTCAAGAACAACCCTCGGCCCAGTGAGTGTCCACCCAGCTTCTGTATCTGGGCCATACAGTTTATGGTGACATTTATGACTTATGTGAATCTTATTCTTTTCACACTGGACCTCATTTTTACCCTGCTTGGTATCTGTGGCTTTAAACAGACATAGTGGTGACTGTCCTGTCATGTTTTAAAAACCTCCAAACTTTCACTACAGCCTTAAACAACAGGTCAGTATGAGCCATACAAGTAAATGCTCAACATTTTTTCCCATTTCATTAAAACAAAAACGTGTGTGAGTTTTTCAGCTAAATAGAGGTTTCTAGCCTGGTTAGTGAACAGCACCACTTCTGCCCTGAGGTGACATGATCCCATTTTCCACATTTGGGCCCTTGTAGCAGGGTGTACACAGTCTTGCTTTGAGCAGAAGCAGCACTGTGGCCAGGACAGCCCACAGAAATGGCTGCCCCCCTGAAAAGGTCAAGTTATGTGTCCTCCTGTTTGTTTTGTTTGTGTACAAAAATTAGTCTTTTTATGTGTATTTATTCACTTTATTTCTTGTTTTTCATAGGTAATGGTGAATATTTTGGTTCAAATAAAATGTGGTTGTAATTGCTTATATCTAGGATGAACGTGATTATTGCAGGCCTCCATGGGCCCCACACCCCCTAGTGGCTGGGCCACTTTTTCTTTCTTATGCACAGCCTTGACTGAGGCTGTACACCTAGATCCATTCCTGTTCACACTCAAGATGCCAGCCCAAAAAGGTGATCTATATTTTGTCATGATGGATGTGTAATTACAAAAAAATAAACCAATACACAAGAGCATTACACAGCCTTTTAAATGATGTTGTCAAACAGGCTGAAGACAACAATTTTAATCTACTGCGTATTGCATTGTCTTTATTTTTAAGGTTCAATATATAAACCTAAAATTACAATTCATCTCTGTGTATTTTTTCACTCTCTGTCTTCATATTCCCTAATGTGCTGCTGTGAGATATGGACTGTGTATGGAAACGCCAGTGAATATCTAAAGATGTAAGATGTGCTGTGTGACGTCTGTTTGAAAATGAGATCGCGCATGAATGAACACACCTGTGTTTCCAGGGATCTGTCAGCCGCTGACAGATGGGGACCGGAATACCAAAACGGGAACGAAGTGAAATAAAGTGACACTTTCTGATGAAGACATATTTGTGACCTCATTTTTTCAATACCTGATAAAAAGGCTTGAAATTACAAAAAATATGTTTGTGTCTTTGTGTGTAAGAGACAGAGGGGTAGCGTGTGTGTCTGGTCACATTGGTATTAATAGTGATTTGTCAGTATTCAAATGGATTTCAATGTGAAATGTTAAATTGTGAATAGTCAAAAATATACACATGAATTAAAGAAACACAACACACCGTATATTAGAAAGAGTCGAGAGTGTGAGAGCAGTCATGGATCACACACTGGCACACTCAGCATTTCATGAATCAGGAGATTTGAATAAAAGGAAGTGAGTAAATGATGCCTGCCTGTCGTATAATCTTTGGCTCTACCTGACTATGAGAATCGAAGTAGACACACGTACAGGTCATCTTGCAGAGTGCTGGTAGACTTTTGCCTTTTTACTTTTTGTCCTCAAGATCTTGGCTTTTTAATCTGAGCATCATGTGTGGCCCATTCAAGGGCTGTCATGGCATTCTGCGCCTCCTGGAAATCATCTTCAGTGCCTTAACCTTCATCATTGTCATCTCCAGAGGAAGGATGGTGAGTCTGTGGGGTGTCTGGTGTGAATTTGTCTGGGTTTTCTGCATCGCTGTGCCCCTGGTCCTGAGCGTGGTGGAATCTAAAATGTGGCACATCCTCCTGGCTGTCTTTCTCCCAAACTGGGCCGACCTGACGTGCGGGCTTACCGCTCTGTGTACTCTGATGATCACCTCTGCCACGGTCATCTTCGCAGCTGTTTTTGTTTGCCTCACTTGAGTTGTCAACATCCTGTGTTTCATCTCCTCTCTTATCGCCACTGTTTTCTTTCTGATTGACGGTGCAATGCAAAAAAAGTTGTTGCCGAGCGGCTACCTGTCCAGCCTGAGAGGAAGTCTCCGCACCACAGAGGCCTTTATAGCGTGCATCATCCTCACTGCCGCCACTGACCACTTTGTGAATGGCGAATGGTCTTTTCGCCCACCTGGGATGATAATCAGCATCGTCGTGTTTGCCGTTTGCCTCCTCGTCACTGTGGTCATCATAGTTCTTCATCTGCTCAAGCTGCTGCAGTGTCTGCTCGCATTCAGGCTGAGTTTGGTGGAGCTTGTGTTTAACGTTGTGGCAGTGCTGTTGTACCTGCTAGCTGTCATTCTTTGGTCAGTCTTTGGTTACAAACGCTCCAAGTATAATCCTTACATCTGTCAGAAGTGTTCCTATGTAGACATGAATACCGTTAACATTGGAGCAATTGTCAATACTGTCCTTTACATTGTGGACCTGGTTTTATCCATCAAATCTCGCTAGAAATTTGGACATGACACATATTTAGAAAGTGATTTGCTTGTGTTGTGTGGGTTAATTTCTTTAGAAGTTAATTCTTTTAATGAGGAAAATCTTTAATGGACTGTAGCTGCTTATATGTTCTGTATGTTGCCCATAATCATGTGAAATATTTGTCTTATTTAACCTTGATAAAAGTGTATAATGTATGAAAATGAAACTGAAATCATGTGTTTATATAATGAAGAAGAAAAACCGCATTAAACCAGAGTGGACACAATGCAGTCTCCCCTGTATTTAATCATTTCAAGTTCTTTATTGTAGACATTTTTCTGTTCCTACAATGTTTTATTGCCTCTCTGCTAACGCAACAATAGCTCTGAGGCTGTATATTCAAATCGCACTGCTATGCCAGTTACATGCCATAAAACTGAGATAGTGAATGCAAATGTCAAAGCAAACACTCACAGCTGTTAACAGAGTAAAAAGGGTGCTAACTTTTTAACAATTTATATGTATTTAGACCCTATTTTTTTTTTACCACCTTACGCATATAAAATGCTTCACAGTCCAGATACAGTAATAGTGTGTGTGCACCTTCAAGCCTCCTCTGGTTCCTCAAATTCCACCGTCTCCAGCAGACCCTGGAAACAGAAGTAGTGGGAGTTGCAGTAGACGGGAGGCTTGTTGAGACACGAGCCCACCACTTCTGGTTTCAGCGAGGTGAAGGGGTTGGCTCCGCTTCCCTTCATGTCCATTTCCAGCTCCATGAGGATCTGTAGGGAGTAGGTCATCTCTGTCTCGCTGCAGGTGGTAGGACAAGAAGCATCAGGAGCCATTACACATTAGACACATCATGTATGAATTATGGATGGTAAGAGAGCAGTAAGGTAGAACTGATTGTCCTTTGTCCCATGTGATATTGTTTTTTTTAACAAATGATAACCCTGGATTTCATGTCTTGCGTCTTCTTTTTTTTCCCATGACTCCTGGTGACAGTATAGGAGACATGGATCTTGTGTTTTGTTGTGTAAAATATATTCTATGTATTTGTGTTGGACTACTGTCTTCAAAGCAAATTACCCTCCGGGACAATAAAGGTCTTTATTTAATTGGATTTATTGGAGATTACTGATCATAAACTACCTCATTAGAATGTACAAACCGAGTGCAACAGTGCTGCATATTAAACCATGTTCGATTTCCACTAATCACAAAAATAAGACGCTTACCACATGCTGTGTGTATTTCTGAAAACCCCTAATCCACAGCTCCTTTCCTTACAGAATTTTATAATCTGATTACTGCTGTGTAATCTGTAATATGATACTTGCTTAACATTTATCAGCTGCAGTGACATTTTCTGAGCTTAGGTATTATTATTCCTCAGTAGTGGAAGATGTATGCAGGAGCCAGAATGTGTATTTGACCTCTGTTGTTTATTATTTGTTTAGGCTGTACACGTTCTTTTGGTCACTTGCACTTCTGGTTTCACATTAATTTACCTGTTCATTCACTGGTATGGCGGTTCTTAGACAAAGAGGGTGAGTTTTAGCTCTAATGTTTTCTGCTGACCATAATTACATCACGTAATGTTTCATTTAATCTTTTTTATCTTTAGTTATCTCAGTTGTTTGTTTAATATATCACCATAAAAATCTTTGGACTTCAGCATGGATTTTATTGAACAAGTCAAAGTTAGGAGCCTACTCAGCCTCTTGGCAGCTTTTTTCATTGATAGTATAGTACAATGTATGTAGTTCATTTTTACTTGAGTAAAAGTAGCAATGCTGTACTAAAAATTACTCTTAAATAGGGATGCACAATAATATCGGCATGTCGGTAGTGGCAGATATTGGCTTTAAATGAACTATCAAAATCGGCCAACTTGCTTTTTCTTATTTTGCACAATGAATAATATCACATACTTTGAAAAGTATTCTATTTCATGCCTCCATCTTCTGGTGGGCCATCGGGATAAGAGTATGCATGCATAATATGATGTTAATTCCAGTACAGAAGAGACTTGATGATCACTAAAATTAGGCGGAGAAAAAAATGGATTTTGGTGTGGGTTATCGGCTAAATAAGTTGTTATCAGCAAAAAAAATCCAATATTGTGCATCCCTACTCAAAAGTAGTATCAAAAGTAAAAGTACTCATTATGCAGAGTGGCCCCTGTTGATGTTATATTATTATATTATTGGATCATTAACGCTGTAGCTGGTGGAGTTTTAACTACTTTACTTTTTGGTAGTTTAATTGAATACAATGCTTCACATTTGATATACTGATCATATTTAGTTTATGTAAAATCTTGATGTGACTGTTAAGAAAATTAAGTTCAATATTTCCCTCTCATATGTAGTGACATAGAAATATTAAGTAGTATAAAATGGAAATACTCAGAACAACAGTCCTTGAGTAAATGTTGTTGTAAGGTATTTGACTGTACAGTATGTGTGTGTGGGTGTTATTCTGTAGCACTCACTTGAGAGCAGTGAAAAGTGAAGGAATCTCATAATCCCTGAGGAGCAGGAGTGTTGGAAGCCAACCCTGGTCCAGGCCCTGACTGGCATCAAATCCTTGACACAAAAAGATGTGAAGAAAAACAAATGAAGAGTTCAACGTGAACAAGAAACTCTTTTCAGTAGCTAGTGGTTTACTGGCACACAACACACACAAAGTC